CTAACCCCCCTGTTCCCCATCCCCTGACCACTCCACCCCCAGAACCTCCGCCCCATCCAACTGCCCCCTGTCCCCTGACTGCCCCCTAGGACCTCCCCGACCCTTATCCAACCCCCCCGTTCCCTGCCCCCGACCCCACCCCCGGAACCTCCGCCCCCATCCAACTGCCCCCTGTCCCCTGACTGCCCCCTAGGACTCCCCGACCCTTATCCAACCCCCCCGTTCCCTGCCCCCGACCCCACCCCCGGAACCTCCGCCCTATTCCAACTCGCCCCCTGTCCCCTGACTGCCCCCGGGACCCTTGCCCCTTATCCAACCCTCTCACTCCCCGCCCCCTTACCATGCCGCTCAGAGCAGCATGTCTGGCGCGCTGCAGGAGCTCACAGCCCCACTGCCCAGAGCGCTGGCGGCACGGCGAGCTGAGGCTGGGGGGGAGAGGGGACAGCAGGGGAGGGCCCGGGGGCTAGCCTCCCCAGCTGGGAGCTCAAGGGCCAGGCAGGATGGTCCTGCGGGCCGGATGTGACCCATGGGCCGTGGTTTGCTCACCTCTGGGATAGGGCCATCAAGGGCTGTTCGCCAACATGGCAAGGGACACAACCTGGGATTTGGGGAAGACAGGTTCAGTTCCCTTCTTCGCCCCAACTCCCTGTGCACCCTTGGGCATGACAGTAAAACTTTGAAAGACGCCAAAGTCCCATTTTCAGAGAGGGACTTAGGAGCCTAAGTCTTATTGAACAGCAGTAGAATTTAGGCTCCCCAATCACCTAGACACTTCTGAAAATTAGTTTTTCTGTCCCTCTGTTCCCCATCTGTCATAATCCTTCCTTACCTCCCAGGACTGTGGCGAGGATAAATACATGTAAGACCGCGCGGTCTGTTCAGCTATTATCATCATGGGGATCTTGGAAGTACCTACGATCGGGAGCTCTGTCTTAGCGGTGATACTCAGACTGAGACCTGCAAGCCACAAGCGGCTCTTTAACGCCCCTCCTGAGGCTCTTTGCAGCGCATGATATTAAACCACCGTGTGATTTAATTATTAACCAATCTAAGTCATTAACCAATTAGGATGCTTTTAACTATGTTATTAACCAGCTGCCGTTGATAAAAGAATAGTACCTGGTCAGTCATTTTGCAGTGAGACGTGCGTGTGTGTGTGCGTGTGTGTGTATCTATACACACACACTAAATATTGCCTGTCATACTGTTTAACTATGACTATATAATACAATAGTAAATGAAACAATGAATCCACACTGTGGTGGGGAATGTTGGTCGCTAATTTGGCTCCTTGAACCCCTGGGGGCTGAATCTCTCTGCTCTATAGTATTTCTAATGCACCCCCCTCGCTGGTATTTCAGAGGTGGCTTGCCTGTGGTTTTTAAGTGCCTACGTGGGGAGAAGCAGAGGGTTCTTTCATCTATCAGGCAAAGCTGCAATGGCTAGAAGTTGAAACCAGACAAATTTACAGTAGAAATTCCGCGTTTTTTAACTCTGAAGGTAATTAACTGTTGGAGCAGCTCACCAAGTGATGTGGAGTTTTCTCCATCACTGGAAATCTTTCACTCAAGCCTGGCTGCCGTTCTAAAAGATGCTGCCTAGTTCCTCCTTGTGTTATTGGCTCCAACGCAGGGGTCACCGGGTAAAATTCGCCTGCCTGTGTTGTGCAGGAGTCAGACAAGATGCTCCCTTCTGGCTTTAATATCTCGGGATCGTGGCATACAAAGTCATCCATGCAACAGAGCCGTGTTTTTAAAAATGAAGTTTAATGGGTCAGATATAGAGAGCTTTAAATGTTTAGGTATCATGAAGAAATTGGATACATTTCTACCCAGGCAGAGCGGGTCTGTCACACACTATCATGCAGTGGTCTTCCATTTCTTTAGCAAAGCTGACAGACAAAGGCGCGTCTATGAACCGTTCCTGGGGAGCTCAGGACTGGCTCTCTGGCCCTCGCCATTGGTGAGCGGCTGCCATCCTGTTAACGTGTCCGTGGTGGTGATGGTAATAATCTGGATTGCCACAGCACGGAATTACTTAGCCTAGCTCCACGCATGGGCCGGGAGCGACCTGTATAAGGTGTTGTGCAAACGCAGAAGTGTCTGCCCCGAAGAGCCGACAGTCTGTGCTGCTGTTTTACACTGTACAAGTTGTTAAACTTTGCACAACAGGAGGAGGGGAATGGGCACAAGTTGCTTCTCTTTAAAGGCTCGGTGCCTTTTCCCGTAGCTGTTGCATGCAAGGCCTTGGTGGAGATGAATGGGCGCGTTTTGCAGGCAAATACGGATATACGTAGGCAGCAAGGTGTGGGCTGGAAGCCAGCAAAAGGCCCGCCGGGAGTGAGAATGGTACTGGATTGGCTGGTTGTGTGTCTGGCCTGCTGCCGTTTGGGAGAGCAGATTCCTGGTCCCCGGGCTGGGGACAGAGGAGCAGGAGTGACCCACGTCCCTTTGCGGGACGCTAAAGAGCAGCATGGAGGCATTCCCGGGGGAGCGCTGAGCGGGGGGAACGTGGCTCGTACAGCTCCAGAAGGGGATACAGACGCCGCCGTC